TGAAATTTACCCTTTGCTGCCCATTGTGACACGTGGATGGTCCAAACACTTACCTTAAGTTGTCCCGGTAGCATTCGCGTGTGGAGTGACACCCCAACCGCTCAGGAAGATGAAGCTCGAGGGAGCGAGCAATCGCAGTGGCAGCAGCAACAAGCATGCATTTCCCGTGACTTGGTGGCGGTTTTGAACCGGGGACAGCCTGCGGTTCAACAGCAAACTGCCGCATTTGGTCTTTGCAAGCCTTCTCATGTGCATGGGGTTGAGTCTGCTTCAGCGATTCGCCAGGGTGCGCGTAGCTTCACATGTTTGTGCAGTAGGCATGTGGTTGTGTGTGTTTGGCCTGTAAACTCGGATTCGGGATCCACTGATCCTAAATGCTGGGACACCCTTCTGGATGGTTGTGAACGGAGAGCATGAGCTGCGCAGTCACTTTCAGAGGAAGCACCCAGTCTAAACCAGCTTTTTGCTTTCAGGCGGGTTTTGAGTTCCTTTTCCCGAAGGCTGGAAGCCCATTTTGAAAGGTGGGCCCAGGGACCAAACATAGGCACGCATAATGTACGCAGATAGATGCGCACACATATGTGAACATTTGATCAGCTTTCCTTGGTCCGAGCATGGGACTAAATGGGTTTTTTTGATTATTTTTGATTCATGCCGGTGCCTGATTCACACCAAAGGGTACCCAATACAATAAGTTGTTCCAAAGGTATTCTCGCCCCCCGACATGAATACCTGATACAATAAAGTGTTTTTTTCGTTCTGAAAACATGGGAGGCGTCATCCCTGGTCTTCGCCCCCATGTCATCCCTTTATTGAGGCCCCGACTGCAAGTCTTTCGAGCTGACCCAGGGTAGAATGTCACTGTGGGGGTCTGATGTAACCAGGGGGTGAGCCAAGTTCAGGAGCAACCAGTGAACAAAGCCTTTGCTTGTTTGTTTGACACTCCCTTTCAATCGCAAAGTTGCGCTAACGGGTCCACCGACCCGTTTTGGTTATAGGGGCACCAGAATAGGAGTTGCCTCTTGGAGATTCCGGCCGCCACCCACCTGAGGCATGAGATGAACCCGCGTGCACTCGATTTTTGGTTATCCATCTTCCTGAGGCGTTTTTTTGGGTTTGCAAATGACGCCTTTGGGATATACATTGAGCCAACGCCAACACCTCTCAAAAACTGCGAAGCCACTGAGTGACGCGCAGTCATCTTAATTAGATTTGGCGTGATTTTGGAGCCATTCAAGCTACAAATGGTTCACACCAAGTTGAAGTATGCATGGCAAAGCTGTTTTTTTTGTTGTTGTGCCGTTCCGTTTCCTGTCAGTCCCATTATTCTTGCAGCATCCCAATCATCACTTGTTCTCATGTAGCTTTCCCTCGATAGCATTTAGAGGTGTTGGCAGTCTCTGAGGGTGGTTCTCTCCGGCCATGAACAGGGCGGAGACTGCGCAGAGTGCACTTTGAGCCAAGCGTGAAACACGAGCCAAGCTGTTTGCAGGCATCGGCGAAAACGGCCCTGGGTTGCACAGACCTTGGCCAAGGGAGGCTTTCAAATTGGGGAATCCAACTTGTCAGGATGGGGGGGGGCCTAAAACTATCTGTGTTGACAGCGGCAACCAGAATAACTGAATTACTCGACCATTTGCTTGAAGCGCAACGTGCACCAGGGGCCCCTTCCTACTGTTTCAAGTTGCATGAAGGACTGCAACTTGGGAATGTGTCAAAACTGGAAACAGAGGGTGTGTGACTAGTTTTGCCATTTGCGACGCCGAGCCTTGCCTGGCAGTTTGTACACAGCGGGTGAGCCGTGGTCACAACGGTCACCGGGTGCAGTGAGTCAAAGAGCTCCTGACAAGCACGTGCCTCTTGGGCCTTTTAGACTTCTAGAGTTCATATTCATGTTAAATGTGAAGACGGGCTTAGTGAGTCCTTGCATGTGAGCCCTGGATCGGTTGCCCGAGCAAGCTGCGTTTTGATCCTTGGAAGGCAGTTTTAGTGATTGTTTTACCGGGTAGTTGGAAGACAAATAATTTTAGTTGTTTAACGGAAGCAATTTAGAGGCCTTGTTTCTGAAAGACCACTCTTCAGTGCCGGTTCATGCAAATGTGCTTCCACACTATTAGCAACAGCTCCCTCACAGTAGGAAGGCGAACCCAATTTGAATCGACCAACTGGGTGCTAGGATGCAAACACATGTTCGTTGCTGTGGTGGAAGCTCGAATGTGTTTGTTAGCTTTGTTAGAGTCCACTTCGGGTCCCTTCAAATATTGGTTAGTGGAACGTTCTAGAAGGCAGTTGGCCCGAAAAGTTGTTTGATTGTGGCGCAATGGGGGCAAACACGGTCGAATACCCTAGGCCCTAGGATGTGTGTGTGTGTGTAGCGTGTAGCGCCCTTGTCCATGGACAGACGCCTCTACCTTGAAACCAAGGCATGCCTTTAGGAAGAGCAAGCGGGCTTACCTGTCAACCCTTCTTGAAGGGTTCATGGTTGAACAGCTTTTCCTCGTGTGTGTGTGTGTGTTTTTTTGGGGGGGGGCCTGAAGAGCTCCGGTTGCACCATTGAACTGTGCAGCTTGCTCAAAGGCACCCAGCTTCGCGCTAAGGCGACGCTTTCGCAGTCGCCGAGGGGGCTTTTGACCGGAGCTGCAGCCGCCCACGAGAGAGCTTGAAGCAAAACGACCTTCTCAAGTTTGGGTTTCCAGTTTTTTTGTTGCTGGTCGTTCGTGAGCCTGGTAGCGACCTTCCCTTGCTTTGGACAAGCTCGGACTTTACCAGTGCTTCCAGACACCATACTAGGTGCTTCCAAGCTACCACTTTAGAGGGAAGGTCTTTCCTGGCAGGGAGCAGAACTGTTCATGATCCCAGGCTCAGCGCATGTTTTCCGACAGCTCCGGGCTGCCTTCCGGCACGTTTGCCGCGCGGGAGATACAGATTTCCTTGGCCTACTTGGGGCCGCGGTTCAATTTTCATGCGGCTGAGATGCGATCGATAGCCGCCATCCATCGAGTCGGAGTGAGGCCAAGGGCTTCGTAGCCCTGACTCGTTTTCGTTGGCTTCAGATTCTCAACACGTGTTTGTGGCTTCATGGGTATGGCCATGATCGGTAGACACGGGATTTGGTAGTTGGCGCCGTCAGCATTCAGCGTCCCTGGTGCAAGCCCAAATTGAGCACTGAAAAAAGGGTCCCAATTCCAATCTGTCCCAGGCCTTTTTGAGGGCGCTTCCTTTTGTGACGCTTGGCACATGTTCTCTTCCACAAGCAGCTCTTGATAAAGCCTGAAAGAGATGCGCACACCTGACTCGAGCCCCTGCTGCTCTTCCACATGCATGAAGCCCTGCGTGGGGCGTCCGCCCACGGTCACCTGGGCTAATCCGAACGGCTGGTCTTGAGGCTCCAGACGCGGAACGTACGCCTACGCCTTTGACCGATACAGGGGCTTGAAGAAAGGCTACCGGCACCAATGCGTCCTACCCCTCCAAATCGGTTGGTGGACATTCTCCACGTACATGGTGTCCATGGAAGGTTCATACCCATATTTTGCAAGAATGAAAGGGACATTTCCACTGAAATGATGGGCATGTGACCATGTGTATGTAGACTTGACAGGGTTCGCCAAAGTCCTCTTCAATCCGTTGCCAATATCATTATTATAGACCGATTGTGAGTGCGTTTCCGTTCGGGGGAACCCTGAAGGAACTTGTCGTCTTCGGAGCCTCCACAGCCCTGTAAAGCCTGTTTGTGGCTGGCGGCTGGAGGGTGCAGCGAAAGTAGAGATCGCCCATGATCGCCCGATCGCCCCTCCGATTTTCAGACATTCCCGGGCTGTGACGTGTACACACATGGCCTGTGTTTCCTCTCGCTCTTCTCGGAGCTAAAATTCAGTACAATGCCACTTTGGCGCTGGACAAAAAGTGGGCTGGTGATGCTGTGAGGTACTTTGAGTTCCACTGTCAACCTTTGGGCGCCGCAGCCACGTCCCCCTCTTCCCGAGCGTCCGGTTACGGGACACTCAAAAGTTAATCCCCTTAAGTTCGGCTTGCCATTGATGGGTGTCCCTTTCCCTTTGGGATTCTTGCAAGCATCAGCAATCGGACCAACCTCAAACGAGTTTCCTCTGGCACTGCTGGCTACATTGCCTCATGGGAAGCCGGATGGATGAGCCCCATTGACATGGAAGAACCAATGGGTTAGCATGAGCGATGCCAACCGTGGGCCCCAGCAACCCTGCGTTCCCACCAAGCTTGCTGTTCAGTGGCACACGGGCCTGAGGAAAACAAATAGGAAACACAGAAGACCGAAGAAGGCGCCAGGGGCTGGAGTTGGTCTATCGCAGCTTGGAGGATTTTCGGAACAGGCACGGCAACAGCATAATGTTGAGAGACAACAGGCACCCCTTCCCACAAAGATCTCTCTACACGGCTTTCGCATTGGAATAAGGGAAATGCCAGCGGGGCGTGCCTCGACCACTTCCGTTTCTGGGGGGTCCAATTTCAGGACTCGGACGCCGAGGCCCAGGAGCTGAGCGAGTGGGGAGGGGAGAGGGGTGGGTCTGGCAGAATGCCCCGTGGTCCGTGGGCGTTTCCCTCGCATTTGCCAGTTGACCGACAAGTTCGCGCTGTTTTGCATGTTTCTGCCCATTTGAAATGCAAAACAAATTCATGCGCGGGGGGTCCCTTCGATGAGATTCTTGGGCTGCAATGGGTTGATGTATGAGCTTTGAGGTCCTTGCCAGTGCGAGCCATGAGAATTAACTCCAGTAAGCATTGGATGCAACCCATTTTGGAGGGCCCCCAGCCTATAAAGCTCCCTGGGACAAGGAGCCTCCAGAAGAACCTGAGCCGGTGGAGACTGACATTGCAGCTGCGTGGAGCCCTGGCCACCTGCATTGCCGTCAGCCAAAGAAAATGGACGTCGTATTGATGTACAAGAGAATGCGTGAGGGGTTGAGGAAGAATTTTGGCATTCACCTTGCACTAGGTGTCCCTACTAATTATTTCTGTCCGACATGTGTCTGAACGACTCTGGTCGAGAGCCCTCACCACTTAAGTCCGTCCCTCAGATCCGCCTGGTGCCTCCCGGGCGGCTGCTGCATTTGGGTCGCCACTGCGGGGCACGGAGGGCTTGGTGGATCCGGCGCTCTCATCCAGCCGGGGGCCTCGTATGCAGAAGCAGGCTGATGGAGATTGTGTTAGGGCCGTCGTTGCCCTTGACGCACATTCAAGACAGAACTTGCATGTGTAGATGTTTGTGTATTTGTTGCAAGTGTTTGTTGGGTCGCCAAGATGCAGGGACCTTGCTGGGCATGCCGATGGTGAAATGTCAGTTGTATTTTCACGGTTTCAGCAAACAAGCGAGTGCCGCCTGTGTTGCCGCGCATGGCCGCGCGCAAATCATCAATCAGCAGCCGGCCAACCAAGATAATATTGTAAGAAGAAAGCAAGCAAGCAGACATGCAAACCAACCCAAAAAGGAAAGCGCACAAGCGGACTGACTTGACGGACAGACAGACAGACAGGCAGGCAGGCAGACAGACAGACATACAGACATAAATAGACAGACAGATAAATGCAAAAAAAGTAAATAAGCAAACAAACAAGCACGCAAACAGGCAAACAACCCAAGCCAGGCCGAACCAGCCCAAACCCAACCAAGCCAAAAAAGAAAAACACTTAAACAAACACAGACAAGAAAGCAAGCACGCACGCAAGGAAGCAAGCAAGCACACCAACAAGCAAGCAAGCAAGCAAGCAAGCAAACAAACAAGCAAACAAACAAACAAACAAACAAACAAACAAACAAACAAACACACTGCCAACCAACGAAACAAACACACACGAGCAAGCATACAAACAAACAACCAGACCAGACCAGACCCGACCAAACCAAAGCACGACAAACAAGCAATCAATCACAGCAAGAAACCAGCCAAAGAAGCACGGAAGCAATCCTGCAAAGGAGCAAAGCAGTAGACACACGGCATGTTTGCGACCCAAGGCCCTGCATCGAATTCAGGTTCACCTCGGTGTCGGTGCTGGGCTCAGCGCACTTAAATCAAGGGGCTCTCTCTGGAAAATTCAAGCCCCCAAGGACATAGCATGGCAAAGCATAACATGGACATGCCAGGGGTCACAAACTTGCCACTTCTCCAATGTGTTCCTTCTGGTGTCCATGTTGGTCGTTTGGGGAGATTGCAGTGGTCAAGGGTTTGGCACTCGGGTTGTTTGGAGTTGGGTCCTAGTTTCAAGGCTTTATCTCTGAAGATTCCTTGATACCATTGCCCTTGGACAGAGGGCGTTGCGGGGCAAAGATTCCTCCCAGGGCCAGCAACCATTGAGCGGGAGCTGCTTTTGGCCACTGAAACCTCCCAAAATAGCTTCACCCTTCTTGGCGTGCGCTTGTTTTTTTTTTGTTTTTTGTGTTGAGTTGGTGGCTTTAAACATACACCGTTCCCTCCAACATACCAAGCGGGCTTGGGAAGGAGCGCTTGCCAAAATGCACCTTCTTCACATCATCTGAGGCATGATTTCAGCTTGAAAACGCATTCTCTTTTCTCCCAGCAGCCTGTCCATTGAGAGCTTCAGGTCAGGATCACTCCGGCGCAAGCTACAGAGAGGGCTTGCAGGAGGCTTTGTCGGGCGGTGGGCGCGTACACTCCGCGCTCACTTTTGGCAAGCCACACCTTTCATCAGCGTCCAATGGGCTCGGGGGCAAGGAGGGCATTCGCTCCTGCCAGCTCACCTTGGTCAAACGACCATTTCACTTGTGATGCTGGCCCTCCAGCGATTCCTGAATTCAGGTTGGTGCGTTGTCGTAGTTATAGTGTAGAATAGTGCGATATAATGACAGGACATCGTATTTTAAGACTTGTGCCAGGCCAAATGCGCGATGTCTTTGGCTGCTGGGTTGGTTCCTTTGAAACTTGCACGTGGCAATTGCTGGTATTAGTCCACAACAGCCTCGCGGAACGAGGGGGCGATCTCATAAATCGCCGCTTGATTCTTTCCTTGAATCAGGCCTGAACCTTACAGTGACATGTGCACAGATGCATATGCAGCCTGACTTTCACAGATTATCACGCTGGAAGCGTGACGCGCATACCATAGGATGCACATACAGAAATTGTAGTTGGCAGCTGCGTGCAGCGAGCCAGAATCTGACACCCAAGCGTCGTGCGGTTTGCGCCATGTGTTCAAGCAATGCAGCTATAACAAGTGCCGCAGCATGATGGATGTGTTCAGGCTCTTCACTCAGGGCTTTTCTTCACTCAGGGCTGAGCACAGGCCGGCAGTTTCAAGAAGAGTGACGCTAATGACTTTGTAGGAACCCCCGCCCGCTTCGCGGATCCGCTGTTCCCTTCGCACAACTCGGTGCAAAACTTCTCGTTCGTTCCTTGGCTTTCTGCCAAGGCCTTGGCTTTTGCCAAGCCCGGTGGCTTCGCAGAAGTTCGCTGCACTTTCTGTTCCCCCTAAGCTGAAGTCCGTCACCCGTATTCACTGCATCGTCTTTCGAGACTGTCCAAGGAGGCTCGACATCCTTTACTTTTCGCCAGATGTGGCGAAAAGCTGGCTGTGCCCAAAAGGTAAAATAAAGTCCAAACAATTCTTTCAAGATGTCCAAAAAGTGAAAGACATCGTCTCATGCCACTCCGCAGGCGCTGCTGGGTGCCCACGGCATGCGCCCGCAGCCCTGGGCGCCGGTGGATCAGGTGGCGGTTTGCGCCGCGGCTGAGCAAGGTCTTTGTGCGGCTGGCGGCACCATTCGGGCTCCAGAAGCTGAAATACTAGGACGCCATACTAAAACTGTACTGAAAGAATAAGACTGATGCCCTTCCTGCCACTGAAATGCTAGGACCCACCACTTTTCAACGGGACCACTTTGAGGCGCCTGCTGCACCACGGACTTCATCTGGTCTACAGTGCTGCGCTCCCAGCCCCACAAGATGGCGGCCAGGTGCCGCTGCCGGGCGCCCAGTCCGGGGTGTCTTTGCCAGGCCTTAAAGCGCACGGTTTTCCTGTTTAAGAGCACCCGATCGAAAGAAAAGGGCACACCGGTGAACCCGGTACACCCAGGTTGGGTTCAGAGTTGACAGATGGCGCGTTAGTTTGGCCCCAGTCATTTGCCGGTGCCATCATCCATTTTCCAGAAGGGCGCCCAGGATGCACGAAGTGGCCTGGTATGGGTAGACGCGAGGTCCCCTTGTCTGTGAGCCAATTTCAAGTGCTCTTAGAGCTTATCAAAGTCAAACACTTGGATTTCACCTCGACCACTTCGAGTGTGAGCTTCATAATTAGTGGTGAAGTACTGCCAGTCAATTCCCTGTCCGGACCTCTGAAAATGGCAATTTTTACTGACACCCACCAGCGAATCCCAGTTGTTTCAAGGAGCTTCCACCTGAATCCCACAGTCTGAGGCCATTCCTGCGGGGCGGTGGTTTGCGACGGGTGTGCCCAGCAGAAGCAGGCCCTGCCGCAGGCCAGCGAAATCGGGTCCCGGGAAGAACAAATTGGTGTTCAGGAGCCCCGACCTGTTGTTTGCACCCCTCATTTGTTGTTTGTGCGCAAGTTCCTCAATGAAGATACGAGTCTGAGTTAAAGGCTTCGGCCACTCACACCCTTGAATCTCTATACCAGAATTTATGCAGGAACGCTGATCTCAAGCAGTGAATTCCAAATCCTAGAACCCTCCCCCAAACCAAAACAATGAATAAGGACGATTCTTGAGTGCCACGCACATGCATGTGACATCATGTGACTTTGTGACGTTCAATTGGGGCATCGTTCAGTGTGGCTTTCGTATTGACACGGAGGCCGATTCCGCTGGAACTGTCCACCATGCCTCCTCGCAGGTGGGCATCCTACGTGAGGTCCGGGTCTGCGATCGCTGTTTTTTGCGGCCAAAGAGCCTCAAGTAGGGCCAAGCAACCCGGCAAGCCAGCCGGCACGGTTCAGAACGGTCCAACTGGACTGCCCGCTTTCTGAGCATCCTTATTCACAGGCCAGCTTGGAGGTGATGATTTGGGTTCTACGAGTTATGCGCTTGTCCTCAAGCGTTTACGTAGAAATGGCTTCTTAGGCCCGCGCCCTTTAAACATATGCTAGGCGCCCGTCAAGTTTCGATCAGGGCGGCGAAAAGGCAGGACTGCCACACCCAGAACGCACAGGGCTTCAACTTGTTCAGTCCGCTGCGCCAAAGTCACTTGCCTGAACCCGCCAGCGGGTTTCATGGCCAGCGGGGCAAGCTGCAACTTTAGTTCGGATCCTGAGCTGTCCTGCTTGCGGGATTAGTGTGTGCGGGCAGAGCGCTCCCAAACAAGGCCTGAGATCTCGTATTGGGCTTGCCGCTCCCAGCTTGATCTGTTCAAGGTTTTTGTCTTGATCCCATCAATGCAACCTTGGACTTGAAGTGTGCCATGTGGTCCCCGTCACCCGTCCTCGTGTTGCCACATCTCTAGACTTTGCCAAGGACTCGCTTCAAGAGTATAGTCATGTCATTTCGCCATTTCGGGACGGCCGGACTGCTGCGAAGCAGCTGCCCACTGCGCGACTCTGCCCGAGCGGTCGCTATCTACGGCCCTTGCGTCACATGGACATAGCTCGAATCCGACAAACCTGGGCGCGTTTGTCACAGATTTGGTTAGCTTCAGTCAAGCGAGTCGACCAGGTCCAAGTTTGTTGGTTGCGAGTCGAATGGTCACAGAAATTGGCTGAGCCGGAGCTGTGAGTTTCCGGTTCCTCCGGTTTCCTTAGGTTGGGTCCAGGGAAGGTTCTTGAAACGCATCGGATGGAGTGCTATCCGGACGGCAACTGGGACTAAGTTGTGCGTACAAAAAGTTCCTGAATCTTCGCATTTCAGCAGCGCGAATCAAGCTCCCAGGGCTGATGCAAACGCAGCGTAGCCATGGATCGTCGTGGACCCATCCCGTTGCGAGGGCTCCTGGAGCAGCCGGCGGAGCTTTCATTTGGGCCGTCAGCTTTAGGCCTGCAATTCCAGAGCGGGAATTTCCAAGACTTGAGGTGTTCGGCACGTTTCTGTGGGCCGGAGTTGAATGAACTCGCTACTTGCTGGAGAAAAACGTCATTAAACGGGGCCCACGAAGCTTAAACCTTCCAGTTTGAGGGTTTGCGGGAGCGGAGTTGATGGCTCGATCTGCTTTTTTGCTGCCACGGAGCTTGGCTCCCTCGCTCGTCACCACGCGTCACGCCTCACGCGTCGCTCACTCGGCTTCGCTTTGGCCAAAAGGCAGGGTTGCTTTGGGCCTCTAAGGGGCAATCGAGGATGGCAATGTGGTTTGGATCCTTGGTGTGTTGTTCTGCAGGACGAACTTTTTAGCCAACCTTGGTCATGGGAGTTGAATGTCACACAAGGCGGGTCCCTCAAACCTTGGCCCCATGGAACGCCATAGGGAACCAAGCGTTTGCATGCGCGACTCGCTGTGAGCCAAGCCCCAAAACTTCCCAACCTCCAGACAGCCCTTGTCCACACGCAGACAAGAATACTGCACAGAAAGGGGAATTCCAGCGAGTGAGCAGGGTGGGAGAGCCTCAGGCATCACTTGGAATCTTGGAATGTCGGATGCCAGATGTGATATCTCGCTTCCTGATTGTGAGGTTAGTGGGAAGTACCTGGGACGTTTTGGGGTTGCCAATCCGGGAAGGAAGGTGAGCATTTGGCAATTCAATCGCGCCACGCAGGGGGCGATGCTTGGCCCCTTGAGGTAGAGGCCGGCTGGGACAGCTGCCGCTCAGAGAGCTGCTGCATTGGCTGAATGTTTCAACCGAGTTGCCAGAGTCGCCGAGGGTGCTTGCAAGCGCAGATGTCTTTGCTTGCTGCTGCCGCTGCTGCTCAGCTTTTCCCACACACTTGGCGCCGAGCGACGTCGATTTGATGTCAGCTTTTCTACCGGCACCCCAGGACTTTAAGCATCCGGACCTGGTGCTGCAGTCGTTTATGTCTCTGCCTTCTTTGCAGGAAGTGAGGTGCTTGCTAGGACTAATGTTGACCTACGATTAGTAAATAGACCATGAATAATGCTAACCGATTTCAAAAAAATAATAAATATACCATGAATAATGCTAACCGTTTTTTCCCAGGGGAAAAAATATGAAAAAAATGAAAAATAATATAAAGTAATTCAAACAAATAACCTTCCCCCCACAAGAGTGAATGAATCCTGAGTTCCCAAGCTCACAAAAGAACATAGAATTCCCATTGGGATCCATGCAAAATGAAGATTTTTATTCAGGGTCAGTGCTCCCAACCCTCATCCCCCATGGAATTTGCATGGTTTCATAGTGAATTTATCCAGGGATCATGCCATGATTTACCATGGGATTTGCATGCTTCTGGCATCTAATCTTTATTCAGGGTCAGTGCTCCCAACCCTCATCCCCCATGGAATTTGCATGGTTTCATAGTGAATTTATCCAGGGATCATGCCATGATTTACCATGGGATTTGCATGCTTCTGGCATCTAATCTTTATTCAGGGTCAGTGCTCCCAACCCTCATCCCCCATGGAATTTGCATGGTTTCATAGTGAATTTATCCAGGGATCATGCCAGGGAAACCTGATTTACCATGGGATTTGCATGCTTCTGGCATCTAATCTTTATTCAGGGTCAGTGCTCCAAACCTCATCCCCCATGGAATTTGCATGGTTTCATAGTGAATTTATCCAGGGATCATGCCAGGGAAACCTGATTTACCATGCGATTTGCATGCTTCTGGCATCTAATCTTTATTCAGGGTCAGTGCTCCCAACCCTCATCCCCCATGGAATTTGCATGGTTTCATAGTGAATTTATCCAGGGATCATGCCAGGGAAACCTGATTTACCATGGGATTTGCATGCTTCTGGCATCCAATCTTTATTCAGGGTCAGTGCTCCCAACCCTCATCCCCCATGGAATTTGCATGGTTTCAGGGAAACCATGATTTACCATGGGATTTGCATGCTTCTGGCATCTAATCTTTATTCAGGGTCAGTGCTCCCAACCCTCATCCCCCATGGAATTTGCATGGTTTCATAGTGAATTTATCCAGGGATCATGCCAGGGAAACCTGATTTACCATGGGATTTGCATGCTTCTGGCATCTAATCTTTATTCAGGGTCAGTGCTCCCAACCCTCATCCCCCATGGAATTTGCATGGTTTCATAGTGAATTTATCCAGGGATCATGCCAGGGAAACCTGATTTACCATGGGATTTGCATGCTTCTGGCATCTAATCTTTATTCAGGGTCAGTGCTCCCAACCCTCATCCCCCATGGAATTTGCATGGTTTCATAGTGAATTTATCCAGGGATCATGCCAGGGAAACCTGATTTGCCATAGGATTTGCATGCTTTTGGCACTCAATCAATCTTTATTCAAGGTCAATAATCACTCTCGTAGCAAATGACCACCACCACCACCACCATACCACCACCACCACCACTACCACCACCACAATCCCTTTCAGCCCTGGTCCTTCAATCTTGGGCACCTTATTCGCGAGGAATGCCTCCTTCTTCATCCAGTAGGCAAATGCCTTCATGGCAATGCACCTCAGGCATCCAGTCTGAAATCTGCATTTGCTGCATGGTGCTAATCTTGTCTCAGCCATCCTGATCTCCATGCTTGCCTCATGGCTCAAATCTGATGCCCTGAAGAACTTGCTGTTCTCATTCATTGCCTGCATTGCTACTAATGCTGAATGACACTTCATGTCCTTCAATTTCTTCAATTTCTCATTGGCTGCTGCATATGCATCATCCTGCTTCTTCTTCAGATTGTATGCTTTCTTCTCAATGTCCTGCATATGCTGATGTAGCTTGCTGGATTCTGTGCTCAATACCTTCTTCATCTTCTGCATTCTGATCTGCCATTCCTCCTTGATTGCCATTGGCCATCCCCTAGATGCTGGGCCTTCAACATGGGTGCATGCCTCAATCTCCATGTATGCAATGACAAAATATCCACAATCAGCTCCTTTCTGGCGAACATGGTTCCTGCATTCCAGTTTGATATTTGCTGCATTCTCTCCTTCAAACAGCTTCACAATCTCATGGGCATACTTCAGGCATTCAGGATGTCCACCTTCCAAGGTGTCATAGTAATGCCACTGATCCCCTTTCTTCACCAATAGGGTCCAATGCTTGGGCGCTCCATGGGCAGGGATTGGGATGCACAAAGTATCAACACCTGATGCACAGTCCAGGATTTGCCCCTTGACCAACTCATAGCCAGCCTCATCCATCTCAGTCATGTTCACAGTCAGCTTTCCCATCAATGCTGGATCCAAGCACTGCACAGACTCAGGAATGTTCAATTGCCACTGCATCCATGCCCATGCCAATACAATGTGCTGATCTTCCAGGTATGTGTCTGCATCTATCCCAAGCAAGGGGTATGTTGTATCAACAAATGGCTCTGGATGGGCAGCTATTGCTTGCAGCATGCTTTGCAATGATGCCCTTGTGATATACTGAAAGGTCCTGTATGCTCTGGGTTTCTTCCATGTTGCATCTTCCAGCATCAGGAACTCCATCTGTGTGCTAATGACACCCTTCTCTGTCATGATGCTTGCTGTGCCATCCTTGACATTGGACACACTCCCTGATCTTCCATACTTCAAGGGGCCTGCCTTTTCTGATACCACTCTCACACCCTTCCCAATCCAATCATGGAGCTCATCACCAATTGCATCATCACTTTTCTTTGCTGGGATGTCCTTCTTCATAGCCTTGAACTCCAATTTGCTTGACTTCTCAGCCTCCTTCTTCATCACTGCCTTCTTATCTGCCTTCTTCTTCACTGATGGCTTTGCTATCATGCTTGGCTTTGAGCTTGCTGATGGCTTGCTTGCAATGCTAAGCTTCTTCTTCTTCTTCATTTTTGCTAGCATTGAGCTCTTCAGCAATACCTTGCCA